CCTCCCTCCCCTCCTTCCTTCCTTCCTCCCTCCCCTCCTTCCTCCCTCCCCTCCTTCCTTCTTCCTTCCCTCCCTCCCTCCCTCCTCCTCCTTCTTTGTGTGTGTGTGTTACACGGGGATTGAACCCAGGCCTTGCGTGTGTGAAGCAAACGCTCCATCACTGAGTTGCATTCCCAGCCCTGGAGAAGTATAAAATGTGATGAGTACCTTTTTATTTTATTTTTAAAAATTGTTTGTTTGTCTTCCAGTACCAGGGAGCCCAGGGGTGCTCTACCACCGAGCTACACCCCCAGACTTTTTTGAGTGAGATGGATCTCACTAAGTTGCTGAAGCTGGCCCTAAACTTGGGATCCTCCTGCTCCAGCTTCTGAGCTGCTGGGGTTACAGGTGTGTGTCACTGCGCCGCACTTTATGTGCACTTTAGGAAGAAAACAGAAAGGGATGCTTTAAAGATTGGCCAAGGACAGGGACAGGATGGGGGGTCCAGGCACGGGCAGAACCCCTTCAAGCCAGCAGCAGCCTTTCTCAGCTCTCTTTGTCCCTTGTTCCCATGTCATGGGTGAGAGGGACCAGTGGCCAAGTACCCTCCTACCAGACACTGTGCTCAGAGATCATTTGCTTTTACAAATGGAAAAAACAAAATGAGGTTCAAATATTAAATAACCTGTGAGCCTGTGGGCTGGCCTTTGTGTTTTTCTGACACTTCATCTTGTCTTCACCTCTTCTGTCCCCCACCCCCCATGTCTTTCTTACTGTGTCTAACTACGCAGGGTGAAATGCACAGAGCTCGAGTGCTTGATGAGTCTCCTGTAAGGTATCCACACCTGTAAGCATGCCCTCGACAAGGGATGGTATCTCAGCCCCCAGGATGTCCCCCACGCCCCTTTCCACCCAGCCCCTCCCCTTTGAGAGCAGCCTGCTGGGAGCTGTCTCCCAGGTCTGGTTTGCCGTGGGTGTCCGGGGGTGCAGGCTGGCTCTCCTTCGCTTTCATTGCAAAATGGAGATCGGATGAGCACTCGAGGAGTGCTGTAGCCAGGGTCCACTGGCCCGGGTGCTGCATCTCTGAATTGCCACCTGTCCTCAATCACGGCCAGCCTCTTGCCTCTGCATGGCACACTGACCCACTTTCTGCCTGCGAAGCCTGCCCTGCCCCATGCTGCTGGGTGCTCCCCCTGCCCGAGCTTTCCTTCACCACCCTCTGCACAGCCAGGATGAAGTGGCTGGTCACATGTCATTTTGCCTTCACCACCTGTGACCCCTCCCCGAAGTGGCTAACTCATGTAGGGGGAATGTGGGTCTCAAGGAAGGCTGTGAGGGGGAAGGGAGTAGGGAGGTCAGGGGACAGCACCAAGGTAGGGTTCACGGGACTGCCTGAGCCCGTGCCTTCTCTGCCAGTGTCCCTTCAGGCCCTGGGGGTGTCCCTGGGGAAGGCGCCTCTGTCTGCACCTTGCAGTGGCTGGAGAGGCGGGATGGTGTGCTCGGGGCTGCTGCCACAGGAGGCGTAGAGACCATAGATGTGACTCCCCACAGCTCTGGAGGCTGGGAGTCCAAGGTCCGGACACGGGCAGGCTCAGCACCTGGGGAGGCCCATTCCTGTTCAAAGATGACGGCTTCTCGCTGGGTCCTCCGGTGGTGGAAGAGGCGTGAGTCTCTCTGGGTCTCTTTCCCACACAGGAAGGCTCTGCTGTCATGGCCCAATCTCCCTCTGAAGGCCTCCCTCCTGAGGCCCTTGCCCGGGGCTTGGGAGTCAACATATGAATTGGGGGACAAGGGCCTTCAGCCTAGAGCAAGTGGACAGACAGCTTGGCCCAGGTCCCAGAGTGCTGGCTTCTCCTGTCTTTTGGTGGCAGCCATCACAAGAGGGGACACTGCCTCTCAATGCAGACTGCACCAGGCATGTCAGGGTCACGTTTCAAAGCCACCACACACATAATTAGATCAACAAACGTCTCAAATTCACTGAGTGTCACCCAACTATCCTAAATCTAGGTGGATGATTTGATATGAAACAGACATTTACATCCAACATTTACATAAATAAATGTAAAAGAGAAGCCGCGCAGGAGACAGCTCCAGGAGCTCTGCTGTCTGCTCCAGGCACGCTGGCCACGGGCCGCAGGTGGTCAGGGAGCCCGGTGCCTCCTGCCCATGCCCACAAGCCCCCACAGCCCCTCTCTCAGGCCCTGAGCTGCTCTATTCAAGACCTGCTGTCCCACCTGGGAGTCGAGTGTGGCTACAGTGCTGCCCCTGCCCTCTCCTCGCTGACCTCCAGGCCGTGGCCTTGGCCCAGCAGTGTCTGAGGTGGCCAGTGCATTCCTGCAGCAGAAAGCTAGACCCGAGGGCCCACGGGAGGCTCCGTCCACCTTACACCCCGCAGTGGGAGGGAAGGAGCACAGAGATACGCGGAACATCAAATGACCACTGGCCTGGGGACAGAGCCGCCTTTGTCCTCCGCCTGCCAGGGGACACCTCCCCTCAGAGGCTGGTGACACCGTGTTCCTTCAGAAGCGGGGGCCACAGATTCAGGCCTGAGGTGATCAGGTTCCCTGTTCTGAAGGGGAACAGGACGGTTGAAGTATGGGAAAGGGGCAAACAGGACGCCCAGGGCCTGGAGTGGACATGTACAGGACCCTGGGCACAGACAGCTGAGCCATCAGCCTGCGGGAGAGGAGAGTGGGTGGGCCACGCCTCCTGGTGTGGCAGGTGAAGACGCCCAGGTCCCGAGAGAGGAGTGGCCTTTCTGAGCTCACACAGCAGCCCAGGCTGCCCACATCTGGGTGGGTCCACTCCGAGGATCCTGCCCGTGTCCAGCTGATGGCCCAGAGCAGGGAGGGAGGCTGGACATGAGCCCTGCCCACACACGAGTGCCATTTCTGTGCCAGTACTCTGGGTTCCTCGCTCGGTCCTAACAGCACCTGACCATGGGTGGAAGTGCTGTCACCAGTTGGGCGGCTGCAGAGAGAGGGTGGGCTGGGCTCACCCACCTGCAGAGCTGGCATGCAGGGCGAGCAGGGATGGCGCTAGGGCCAGGAGGGTGGGGCAGCGCTGGCCTTCAACAGCCTGGCCGGTCGTGACTTGACCTGGGGCGTGGTGGAGCCACCCAGGGTCTTAAGCAGAGGAGTGGGGGTCAGGCTTGGTGTCTGGGGGAGGTTGAAGTGGGAGGATCACGGCGGGCGGCTGCCGCTCAGCTGGGAAGAGGCTGGGATGAGGGCTTCCCCAGCCACAGAGAAGATCACCGCTCCTAGACCTCCTCTTCCAAAGCAGACCAGGGAGGAGAACTAACTGCCCAAGTCCTAGCTTTGGGGACTGTGCTTGAGTGTTCTGGGCCCATCCGTGGTGTCTGTCTGCTGTTGCCTCGCATTCAATCCCTGGTACCGCCCCCCCCCCAAAAAAAAAGATCTATATACCTAACTTGGAAGACCAAGACCTCAGTTGTTTTTTTTTGGGGGGGGGCACTGGGGATTGAACCTAGGGGCGCTTAACCACTGAGTCACATCCCCAGCCCTTTTTATATTTTAGTTTGAGAGAGGGTCTCCCTGAGTTGCTTAGCGCCTTGCTAAATTGCTGATGCTGGCCCTGAACTCATGATCCTCCTGCCTCAGCCTTCTGAGCTGCTGGGATTACAGGTGGGCGCCACTGCACCAGCTAAGACCTCAGTTTTGAAGTGTCAGATAAGGAGACAGGAGGGCAAACCACTCTTTATTTTATCACGTTCTTGGCCAAAGGGGCAAATTACCCTTCTTTTATGGCTTTCCTAATGTACACCTGGGCATCTCCAGCTACCCCCGGGGCCCTGAACAATCTTTTCTCCCAAACCTGAATGCCACAACACCTACACAAGGGCTGGAGGCCGTGTCGTGACATCTAGGTGGCCTCTTTGGGACATTTTTAGTGAGTGGGAGGGAGCCATGCTACAGAAGTCAGGGTGTGGTGAGGTTAGAGCCCAGAGACTGGGTCTCACCCTGCCAAACCACGTACTCTGTGATCTCCAGAGGTCAAGGCCGCTGGTCTAACCTCTCTGAGCCTCATTCCTTCACTCAGCAGTGCCTGGCGTCTTGCCGGAACCGGGATCCGGGATGAGTCAGACAGGCCCTTCCGTCCAGGCCCTCCTAGCTTCCCGGGAGAGGCAGATGAGGAAAGGCGGCAGGCAGGGTGCTCCCTTCCATCTGGGGAAGGTGGTGTAGCTGGCCGCTGGGCCTTMAGAAGGACTTCCTGGAGGAGGTGAGGCCCAGGAGCCACGTTCCTCTTCTGTTCGTTGGGGTGGTCATAAGAGTTAAAGCTTCTTGTTTCAGAGCTTAATGATATGTTAAACTGTGACTTTGTTACAAAAGTAATACATGCTCATGGTGAGAACTTGAGAAAGTAAGGAATTAAGTAAAAAAGTAAAGCATCTCCTTCCTGCCCATCTCTGGAAGGACTAATTGCTGTCCACAGCCTCCCGTGGCCTTCCAGAAACGACCTGTGTATATGGAAACACGTGGGCAAAGCATTTAAAGCCCAGAGAAGCGGCAGTAGCTCCCACAGATGAGCCTTCAGCAGGGCCAGGCTCCCGGCTGCCCTCGCTCTCCCACTTGACCCTACACCTTGCACTTGAACATGTTTCTAATCCATAAGCAACTCCTCAGGAGGCTGCAGAACAGCCGGGGGTGTCTCAGGAGACATGCACAAAGGCTCCCTGTGCCTCTGTCCCCGGATGCCTAGCACTTCCTGCGCTGCCCCACAGAAGCCTCCCTGGGCTGTGTTTTCAGAGGAGGAAACTGAGGCTGCTCAGTGACAGAGGCAGCTGGGCTCTGGAGCCAGAAGGAGGCCACACTGTCCTTGAGTCCTGGTTTCTGGAAGCAGCAGGATTAAATATAACCCAGGCAGGCGGCAGGCGGGGGTGGATATCTCAGGCTCAACCAGAAAGTGCAGGCCAAAGGGCGGTCCATCCTCGCTGGCTCTGTGAGCAGTCCCTGGGGTTCTGGCTGCGCCAGTGCTCCCTCCCACCCAGGTGCCCATGCAGGGAGAGGCCCAGTCCCCAAATGTGTCATCTGTGTGTGGGTTGGTACCTTTGACCCAGTGACTCCTCTCCTCAAAATTGGGTCATGGTAAAGGTCACAGGCTCTGGCAAGTGGAGAGATCTGTCYTGTGGCCTGCACTTGGCCCCATGGGGAATCGTGGCTCTGTGGTGTCACTCGTTGCCCTTGTGACCCTGAGCCCAGGCAAGTCACTACACCTTTTTTTCATTTTTTAAAAATTGAGGCAAAATCACCCGAAGTGTATAAT